AAGTATATAACTTTACTATTAAATATGTAAAATATCTTATAAAATCAAGCCATGATTTCAGGTGATTTTACACAGAAGTTGATCAGGAGCAGTGAACCCAGAGAAGGAAATCATTACTACATTGTGGTGGAGAGGAGTGGGCGCAGTACCCAAATCAAAGGACCTAAAATCAGGTTGATAAATACGAATCTTGGCAGGGGATGCAATACCATTGTATTTACTATGAAAAAAGGAGAAAAAGTCTGGTGCAGGGGTGGGGAACCCGTGGCCTTCTAGGTGCTCAAGTTCAACCCTTTGCCACACTTGAGGACCTAGAGGGCCACATGTGGCCTAGAGGTCGAAAGTTCCCCACCCCTGGCTGATGCCTAGATGTAACAACCTCTATCATAATTCAGGCGATTGAAATATTAGGAAGATAGGGAAGCACAATGTTTAGAAAGACCTCTAAATTTGGAAGAAGTTATTGGTTAGTCAATTAGTTGTTTAAAACTCTTCATGACTCCGTTTAGGGTTTTCTTGGCAAAGATGCTAGAGTGATTTGCCATTCCTGCTCCAGCTCATTTTACAGAAGAGGAAACTGAGGCAGTTAAGTGATTTGCCCAGGGTCACACTGCTAGTTAGTATCTGAAGCCACATTTGAACTCAGGTCTTCCTGACTCCAGGGCCAGCACTCTAGATCCTGGGCCACCAAGCTGCTCCAAATTGGGAAGGCCTAGATTCAAATCCTGATTTTGCTACTTAACTACTTTCATGACCCTAGGCAAAGGTGGAAGGAAAGAAGAGGGGGAAAAGGATAAACATTTATCAAACACCCATTATGTGCCAGGCACTGTGCTAAACTAATGTAAGTCACTTGACTTGAGTCACGATTTTCTCATCTGTAAAATGGATTAACGGATAGACTGAAGTCAGGAAGACTGAGTTCAAATCTGGCCTCAGATACTAAAACTAGCTGTGTGACAAGTCACTTAACCCTGTTTGCCTCAGTTTCATCATCTGTAAAATAACCTGGAGAAAGAAATGACAACCCACTCTAGTATCTTTGCCAAGAAAATTCCAAATGGGGTCATGAAGAGTAGGAGACAACTGAAATGACTGAACAACAATAACAATAAAATCTTTTCCATCTCAAAATTTTATAATTCTCACACAACAGTCATATATATGGTAAGTGGTAACCTAGAATAAGTAATTTTTTTCTATTTTCTCCATTTTTTTTATCCTATTATGTAAACTTTTTATCCATGATAAATGCTGACTTCTTTGAAAACTTTTTAGAAAAATCAGAAACATATCTGATATCTCTAACTATGAATCAGAGACTTCCCCAAATCCCACTGGAATGAATTTTTTTCATGGTCTTCATTGTAGCCTATATTCATGGGCCCTTCTCTGGACTTAAAATCCATTCCACTACTGGAAAAAAGTCCTGGAGTCTGCCAAGAGCCAGATACCAATAATGGACCTCTATCCAAGGTTCAGAAAGCCATTGGAGACTTGGAGGGAGAGGGCGAAAGAAGAGCTTACCTGGTCCAGATAAGTAAGTTCATCTTCATATAATAACCTTAAATTTAGTTTTGGATACTAGATGATAGAAAGGCCAGCACATTAAATAAAGGAAGGTGTTGTGTAGTAATGCAAATGCTGCTTTTGGAATCCAAGGACCTGAGTTTAACTCAGAGCTTTTCCACTTCCTGGGTACAAAACCCTAGTCAAGTCTCTCTCAGCCCTCTCTGGACCTCAGTTTCCTCATCTGTGTTGGACTAGATCTTAGATTTCTAAGATCCCTTCCAATTCTAAATTCTGTCATGAGGGAGATGGTCTATTCACAATTCCTTTGGCAAACAAAAACTCCCTAAAAGAATATTATTTAGGTGTTAAAGAAGACACATGATTTCATCAGTGGGGATACCCCTCCACCAATGAAACACAGTCCCTCCACACATTAGTAGATGATCTTCATGAGTTGCTCTTGGGGAAAAAATACATCATGGGGGAAGAGGCTCTTTGAGTTTAACTAGACTGCTTCTCAGTCAACAGATGCACAATAAATACACTGCTTGAAATTAAAGCCCCTCCAGCTGAGTGGGGCCAAAATCTGAACTTCACAGACAGCCTTTGAAATCCCAGATCAACTCCACAGAGTGTTGAGGAACTGGAGGATATGTATGGAGGATTATTTAGACAATGAAAATCACTTCGGTGAGATTTAAGGTTTGGGGAGGGTAGGAAAAGGAGGAAGTATATAGACAAAACTGCCTTTTTTAAAAGCAGACATATGCTTAGGCATGGGGGGAAATAGAGTGATTATTTCTCTAAGTCTTTCTTTTCTTTCCCCATTCCCTGATCTCTATGGCAGGGCGATCCATTTCCCCTTCAAAGACAAAAAAAAGGTCTGGGACACAGTTTCCCGCTCTTTGTCACACTTGAGGGAGGGAAGAGAACAGTACCATATTTCATTTTTATCTCCATCACAAATCACCACATGTTAGCCATGGACAAGGGTGCCAAAGATAGGTGAGGGTTGGTGATTTCCTTATGGACAGCACCTTTCCTAAATCAGATGCTCTCAGGGAGCACACTTAGAAAAGTGGCATTGGGTCAGCCAGGTCAGTTTGAGATCAGGTAGAAATTCCACTAATACAGGCAGGAAAAGTGTGGTTCTTTACTCCATGTTGTCAAACTAGAAAGATTTCTACACAATAGCCTTACCTGCCTCATTTTTAAAGTGTTTTGATTCTGTTCACACACATATACACACACACACACACACACACACACACACACACACACACCCACACCACACCACACTTGACAGCTTCAAGTGAATCTTCTCAAGAAAATAGTCAATACTGAGGATGCCTTTTTGATCCACAGCTTTCTGACTAGGTCTAAGGCATCCCTGAGTAGGAACATCTCATCTCATTTGTACAGTATGGACACTTGGAGGCCCAGAAACCACTCCAAGCCCCCAAATAATTAATTAATTAGTTGATAAAAGTCTTTCTCCCAAGGGCCAACCCAATGATGCCTGAAACTGTGATTCAGCCATCTACCAGAGAAGACATGTTAAACCAGTTGGAAGATGCCAGCACAACTTTTGTTAATTAATTTATCAGAAGCCTTTACCCACTGACAGAGTGGTAAGGGTAGTTTGTAACAGGACACAGCACGCAGGTCTAGCAGAGCCTTCCTGAGGGATAGAGAGAAGAGCAGAAGGAAGGGTATTCAAAGGCTATATGGTAACAGAGAGATAATCCCTAGAAAGAGAGTCAAAAAACTAGAGTTCAGATTTCTGTATCACATTTAACTGGCTGTGTGACTTTGGGCAAGTAATTTGGCCTTTTGGAGTCTCAGTTTTCTCATCTATAAAATGAAGGGGCTGGAATAAGTGGTCTCTTTTATCCCTACTAGCTCATATGATCTGTGACTCTATGAAAGAAGAATCCAGGAGTACAAGAGGAAGACAAAGCAGTTTCTTTCCTCTGGCTCTGTAGTTTGAAAAGACAGAAAACATAAGACTAGTTCCTTCACTATGCTACCCTGAGCAGAGTTCAAATCCCACTTCCAAAAGGGAAGTTAAAGTATTAATTTTTTTAAAATAGTTGCACAAGCAGAAAAAAAAAACAAAGAACAAACTTCTCAGAGCTGGGCACTAACAAAGATAGGCTGAAAAGATAGGCATACTTCAACAACTTAAAACTTTTGTACTTGCAAAGCTCCTGTAGCACAGAGAAATAGATAAAGTTTAGATTACTCCTTGCCTTCAGGGAGCTTACCTCATTATGAATCAACAAAAAAAGTACTTCCAAATCCTTGAACTTTGACCATTACAGAGGCAGAGAGCGGAAGGGAGAAATACAATATATAGGCACCGATCCATCTTTCAATCAGGGGATTTAGAATTAGAAAGGACCTGAAATATTAAGTCAAATCTCTTCATTTTAAAAGATGAGGAAAATGAGGTCTCAAGATGTCAAATGACTTATAGACTAGAGAAAGAATGTCGGAGTGAGAAGAGACATAGAACACAGAATGTCAGAGCCAACAAGAGCCTTAAAACAAAGAATATCGACTTAGCAAGGACTCGGAAAGATAGATTCCCAGAATCTCAGAGCTGAGAGACCCCAGAGGTCACTAATCTAATCTCTACCTGAATGAGAATCTCTACTACGATAACCCAACAAGTGATCATTCAGTCTTAGTTTGAAGATGCCTAAGTGAGGAAAAATCCACTACTTCTCAAGGCCACCCATTCCACTCTTGAATAGATGTGCTAATTGTTAGAACCTTTTCCCCGATAGGAAGCCTGAATTAGCCTCTTTGCAATTTTCCAATCTTTGCTCCTTTCTGCCTCCAACCCCACCCTACTCCGCAACCCTCACCAAGCAAAACAAATCTAAACTCTCTCATAAAGTCTTTTAAATATAGGAAGACAACTATTATGTTCACCACCCCCAAGTCCTCTCTTCTCTCGTTTAAATATTCCCAATCTTTTCCAGCAGATCTCACCTGCCCTGATACTGAGGTTCGTTAATGTCCTCTGGTTGCCCTCCTCTGGAGGGCCCCAGCTTGTCAATGCCCCCCAAATATGACATTTAGAACCGAACACAGTTATTTTCTATGTCTAACCGGGCCAAAGGACAGTAGGACTATACCTTTCCTCTTTCTGGACGTTTGGCCTCTCTCAGTGGAGCCCCTGATCATAGGCTAATACAGGATAACAAAGCTAGAAAGGACATTTAGAGAGAGCCTTCAGACCAATCCCCTCATTCTACGCTTGAGGAATAAGTTGGCAATAACAGCATGGCTAAGATTGGTACCCAAGTCCTCTGTCTCCAAATGTAATGCCACTACATATAAATAATATATATGTATATAGTCATTTATTCTGCCCATTATATCGGGGGACACTAGACCGAGCTGGGCTGGATAAGGACCCATTGTCAATTCTTTTCCTTGGAAAGCCTCAGAAGAAAGGGCGAGAGGAGAGTCCCTACCTGTTAGCCAGAAGTCGTCAGAAAAAGGTCCCAGCCTGGAGCAGCTTTCGCCGCTGCGATTGTCAGGAGCTAGCGAGTAATTGGGTAGTCCAGGGGCCCAGAGGGTGACAGTAGCCCCGGGCGGGGCCGTATATGAGCTCGGGGAGTGTCCCGACCATCCCACCCCCTGACCCGACTGATAGCGGCTCGGACCAATGGCTGGCGACGGAAGGGGAGGACTGGACCAATGGGTGCCCGCCATGCGGAGACCCTTCTTCTAAGCGCTGCTTTTCCGAGAAACCGGTCCAGTCTAGGAGGCAGCAGGGGCTGTGACTTTGACCGTGGAGCTGGCTGCAGGGGCTTCCCCCTCCTAACGAGGGTTCCCCGTTCCTCATCCAGGACTCCGGGGCCCGAGCCGCGTGAGGACTGAGGGGCGGCAGCCGTGGGAGGCTCCAGAGACTCGAACCAGCTGGGGGCGGCGGGGGTCCCGGGCGGCAGCAGGGATTTGAGGGGTGGGATGCTACGGCCGAAAGTGACTCGAGTCAGCTGGGCCCAAGCGGAGGCGGAGGCGGAGGCGGGAATTTCCCGGAGGTCAGAGCCCAGAGACCCTCAACTAACTCTGCCAGGAGGAAAAGTAGAACCCGAGCAGGTCACGGAACCGCCTCCACCGGCGACCCGACGACGCACTGGCGTTTGCCCGGCGGCTGGAAATAAGCCTCCACCTGAGCCTTCCTGGGGGGATGCTTTGTTCACTTGTTCCCAGGAAGAGAGGCAGGGGGCAGGGGGAGTAGGAAGATGGTATTTATTTTTATAAATTAAAAAATGTAAATGTTATTTACATATAAATAAAATATATCAGTTAAAAGGCCCGTATGGTTTTTTTTTAAGCTGAGCAGCCCCCACTACCTGATGAGCCTCTCTGAGCCTCAGTTTCCTCCTTTTGTAAAATGAGGAGGTAGAACTAAATGAGTTCTGAGTCCCAAAGAGTCCTTGGGTGAAAGTCCTGCTCACAGAGTTAAGAAGTGAACCCAGATCCCAAAGCTGCTCGAAAGAATTAGGGGTCGGGGAACCAAGAAGGAAACTTTTAGGGGCAGCTAGTAAACCCTCTTCCACTGCTGTTCCCGTGGGTCCTTAGAAGGTCTTAAAATTTACCCTAATGCATGGGAGAGCGGAGGAATACGAATCGAAATATGAAACCTGATTTTTAAGTAATCTGAGCACACACTAATTGTGTGACCTCAGAAAAGTCATTTCAGGCTCCCTGGGCCTCCCCTCTGCAAAATGAGGGAGTTAGTGATCTCTGAGCCCCAAAGTCATTCAGCCTCTCAAGATAAAAGCCACTTTTCACAGCTCTAAAGGCGGCCAAGGAGTTCTTAGAAGCATAAATGCATACCACAAACTTCAATTTGGAACAAACTGTAATGCCTCCCTTCCCCACCACCTGTGTGTCCTCAGGCAAATGTCTCTGGATTTCAGTTTTGTCCATCCTATATAATCCTATATATTTGTCCATCCTTGAGCTTCCAGATCCAAATCTAAAGATAGATAGATACACATATATGGATATATAGCCACACACATATATGCATATATACACATATACATATATACACATATATAATATACACATATGTGTATATGTGTGGCACAGTGGATAGAGCTCTGGCCTTGAAGTCAGGAGGACATGAGTTCAAATCGTCTCAGACACATGACACTTACTATCTGTGTGACCCTGGGCAAGTCACTTAACCCCAATTGCCTCACCAAAAAGCAAAAAAAAAAAAACCACACACACACACACACACACACACACACACATATACAGTGACCCTCAAAGCAGACTAGCTTCATGGGGCTGGGGGATACCCCACCCAATGACACGACAGGAATTCATTAAGTAGAGATTCCGTGTCAGGCTTGACCAAGGAAATTTAGACTGTTTACTTCCCTCTTTAACTGAAGAGTTCCACAGCTAAAAAAGGCAGCCAGAGATAAACCTCCCTAACCTGGAAGACAGCCTATGAAAAGTGGTCCCACCAGCTTATCCCTTGACCCAGCTCAGCGGAAGGACTCTTAGGCATTGACTTTGAACTTGAAGTGGACTGGATGTCTTCTTAGGGCTTCTCTAGGCTCTTGGTCGAGTCATTAATGGAAAGCATTTCTACAATCTAATGTGACATAACCAGTTTACACTGAATTGTCAATCGGATTGATTTCCTGCCACCCCCAACTCCAAAAAAGGAATCACTAGGTTAAAATGTGTTATTTTTTGTGTCAGTAGATAATGTATCTGAGAGCAGCAGGATGTGGTGATAAGAGGATTGGCCTTGGAGTCAAGTGACCTCAATAGGACTATTCTATGACTTTCTGCAAGCAATTTGAATCTAAGCTTCACTTTTCTTATCTGTAAAATGAAGGGATTAATACTAGTATCATATCGCTCACAAGGCTGTTCTAAGAAGAAAGCTTTAAGGAAAGCTTTTCCAAATGTAAAGCATATATAAATGTAAGGTGTCATTTTTCTACTCCAGTCCCCCATACCCCCTCCAATTCCTTTGAGCAGTTTGGAATCTGGGCTCACTTCTTAACTCTGTGAGTAGGGCTTTTACCCAAGGACTGTTTGAGACTCAGACTCATTTAGCCTTACCTCGTCGTTTTACAAAAGAGGAAACTGAGGCTCAGAAAGGGGAACTGAGTTTTCCAAAGCTCCCCAGGTAATGGGGGCTGCGCAACTTTCTCACAGGATTGTCGTGAAGGTGATTTGAAAGGGCTATAGAAATGAGTGGGGCAGCAGCAGTAATAGTGGAAAACAAGAGCTCCAGACCTCATCCAATGACTCAATAGCTGTGCAATCTTTGTCAAATCATTTAACTGCTCCAGGCCTCAGTTTTCTTATCTATAAAATGGGAAGATGAACACTTGCACTCATTACACAACACCTCATAGATTTGTTGTAAGAATCAAATTGAGCTTCTCTATGTAAAGAGCTTTGTATTCCCTTTACAAAATACCTTGCCCCTCACAAAGGGGATCATTAAAATAAGTGTTTATAGGGAAGTGTCAGTAAAAATATTTCCAGCTAAAAAGAGTGGAGTCACTGCCAAGTGAACAACAGCAAATTAAGATGAGCATTTCTAAAAGTGCTTTACAGTTAGACTTAGCCATAATTGAATCTTTTATTGTGATATGATGCAAAGAGTGCTGGATTTAGAGGCCAGGGAGACAGACCAGTGTGTGTGTGTGTGTGTGTGTGTGTGTGTGTGTGTGTGTGTGTGTGTGTGTGTGTGCCTGTGTGTGAAATCCTCCTTCTACACCTCCTCGCTATGACTGGGCAAGTCACTGAATTTCTCTGAACCTTCATTTCCTTATCTATAAAATAAGAATAATAAGAGTAATTGTACCTGCTTCACAGGGTTGTTGTAAGGATCAATTGAGGTAATAAACCTAAAGTATAAAGTACAGCTATCCACAGGAATTGCTAAGAGGCTACTTTATACCTTGCTTGATTCATAGGATTATTGTGGACCAGTGGAAGGAAAGGGTGGGAAGGGAAAAGAAGGGAAGAGGAGGGGAGAGGAAGAAAGGGAAGGAAAAGTTAATGGAGGGGAGGGAGGAAAAGGAAGAAAAGGGAGAGGGGAAGAGGAAGGAAAGCGGATGCTGAGTGATGAATCAGCCAATTCACAGCACTGCTTGAAAGAATAAGAGAGGGGGGCAGCTAGGTGGTGAAGTGGCACCGGCCCTGGATTCAGGAGGACCTGAGTTCAAATCCAGCCTCAGACACATAACACTTACTAGCTGTGTGACCCTGGGCAATTTGTGACCCCCATTGCCTAGCCAAACAAAAAAAAATAAAAATAAAAAATAAAAAAAATTTAAAAAGAATAAGAGAGGGAACAGTCTTTTCCGACTGTTTATATGGGCTACATTGTGGTTGTTGCTGGTGATGGGGTGGGGAGGGAGGAGAGCTGGACAAAATATTAGTAATGTATATTTCTATTGCCCTGATAGAGCTACACCTGTAGAGAGGTGGACTTAGTATAAAGGGGTTTATTGGTCACCTTAGAATAGTTCTAAAAGATTTTTTTCTGCTGTACAGATCACTGCAGCAAAATCAAAGCCCCATGAACTATTTGGATTAATGTCCATTTTTGCTTGTCATCAAAATTAGCGGTAAGAATAGAGCTGCTTTTAATTATTCCCCAAATGAATGCTGTCTACCTTTTGTTAAATAACAGTCATCTGGGGGATCTTATTAGCTGGGGGATCTTAAAAGACAATTGTGGAGCTAAGGGAAAATGTCAGGCAGGTGATGTTTGTCTTAAAAGCCCTTTCTTCCTTTTTGGCATCCACCCAGGACCTGTCTTTCTAGCCAAGCACTTGACTGGCCCTCTGCTATCAAGGGCATATCCCTGCCATGTATTTCACCACCAGCACCCAGTGCCACCACTGAAACTTAACTGTTCTCTATTTCATTTCCACAGATTCTTTACTCAAAGTTGGCATCCAAGATTGACAATCAGTCAATCAGATCAGCAACTCTGTGGCAATGCACTACTGGAAAAAGACTTAAATGGAAGACTTCCTTTGCATCTATCCACCAGGACTCTCCTTTCCTTCTTCTGTTCTAGGATACATCTTTAAATTACAATGTCTTTCTGGGGACATTATATTTCCACCCAAACCCTGCCCTCTTTAAAATTTCCCTATTACTGTCTGGACTAACACAATTATTCCAGCCCCAGGTGGACAACCTGGGTGTCATCCTTTACTCTTCATTCTCACCTCCCATTTCCAAACAGTTGCTAAGGTCTGTCAATGTAATACCTTTTGCATAAGCCCCCTTCTGTCTTCAGATACTGCTGCCATCCTGGTGTAGGTCCTAACCATCTCATGCCTAGACTATTTCAATTGCCTCCTGGTTGGTCTACCCATCACAAGTCTCTCCCACTACAATTCAACCAGCCTCAGACACTTGACACTTACTAGCTGTGTGACCTTTGGCAAATCACTTAACCCTAATTCCCTTACCTCCCACCCTACTCAAAAAAAAAAACTTCAAAAGGTTCGTGATTTTTTTTTAGCTGATATCATGATACTTTTATTTTTCCCCAATATGTTCATATGTAATATTTTAT